AGTGGTGACCTCGTCATGCGGCGGCCACGTGGCCGTCCAGCTGGTTCGAAGAACAAACCGAAGCCGCCCGTGATCGTCACGCGCGAGAGCGCAAACACTCTTAGGGCTCACATTCTTGAAGTCGGAAGTGGCTGCGACGTTTTCGAGTGTATCTCCACTTACGCACGGCGGAGACAGCGTGGGATTTGTGTTTTGTCCGGTACCGGAACCGTAACTAACGTCAGCATCCGTCAGCCAACGGCGACCGGATCTGTAGTCACTCTACGTGGCACTTTCGAGATTCTTTCTCTCTCCGGATCTTTTCTTCCGCCGCCTGCTCCTCCAGGAGCGACGAGTTTGACGATATTTTTAGCCGGCGCTCAGGGACAGGTCGTCGGAGGAAACGTTGTCGGTGAGTTGATTGCGGCGGGGCCGGTGATGGTCATGGCGGCGTCTTTTACAAACGTGGCTTACGAAAGGTTGCCTTTGGATGAGCATGAGGAGCAGTTACAGGTTCAACAAAGTGGAGGAGGAGAGAATATGTACTCCGAAGCTACCGGAGGAGGCGGAGGTTTGCCGTTTTTTAATTTGCCGATGAGTATGCCTCAGATGGGAATTGAAAGTTGGCCGGGTAATTCTGCCGGCGCCGGTAGGGCTCCGTTTTAGCTAATGTTTAAGAAACTCTTACTTGTTGTTTTTTTTTTCCTCGAAATTTATGAAATTATGATTTTTTTTTTTTTTAACAATCGTTCATGTATTGGACATGGTTTTTTTTACTTAGGTTACTGATTTATTATCTTTTAAAAATTTAAAATTGTTCTCGGTGAATTAATTAGCTCGAAGATAGAATTGTTCGGTTTTTGTTATCATATATGTATCCACCACATAAATGAATTAATTAGTTCTCTGAAGATGATTTTATTAAATACCAAATTAAAAATTCCATCGTTTCTTTTGTAACTCTCTAGGGGATTAACGGTATGTAAAATGATTTTTTACAATAGACTTTCCAATAACGGCATACTCTAACGAACATTTTAATTGACTTTAATCAACCAATGTCGTCGTTTACATTATAGTTTCGTATTTGTCCAATTTAAAAGAAAATATTTGTAATTCAAATCAAAAACAACTTAACTTAATCATTTAACTCGCTAGGGTTCTTCTAAACACATGACTGCATAAATTTTCTTCTTTTTCAAAGTTTGAGGGCACCAACATGTATATATTAAAATGACGGAAAATAGTAAACGACAAAGAAGATTAAAGTAATAGCTAAATACAAAGGAAAGTGCAAGTGGAGTGCTAATTAAGAAATCAAATTATTAATTTGACCAATTCATTTCCAATCATGCCCTTAATTGCACAACCCATTTGATGCTAAGCTGTCACACACGCAATAATCTAAAGTAAAGTAGCCGAATATGTTCATCACAAAACATTTAGTATTGATTAACAATCATTACTTTATTTATCTCGAATAGTACTTATAGATTGGAGTAACAAAGTATCAATAAAAAACTGTTTTATCGATTAAAGTCATCAACACGATTATGAATTATAAACTTGTAAATACTGCTTATTTACTGTTATTGTGAACTACGACAAGAAAATATATGGTTTGTCTTCTTATTTTACGTACTATGGTGTTACTATATCTAAAAAGTGATAAGATTATAATACCTATAAATCTGAAACAAACCTTTGACAATATAATTGATGGACTATATACTTAACTTTATGAGGGATGAGGTGATAGTATATAATAAAAAAAAATAGTTTACTGTATTTTTTTGTCAACAATATACTTAACTTATCTAAAAATGAAAGTGTTGATATAAAAATATAAATAAATGTGGGTAAAGAAGAGACAACCATGATTTTTACCAAGTACCACGGATCATTAATTGTTCTTTCTTCATTGGATTTTGCATCTAACCAACTTTTCCAAAAAATATTGATATTGTTAAGAATAATAAGCATTCTAAAACAAGCTAATCAAACTTTCTTTATATAAAGTCGATAAAGGTGCCAAAGATTTCTTGCTAATTATAGTTTGATACACATAGTAATTATTAGTAAAACATCAATCAAACTATCACATCCGAATGTTTGACCGCTAATTTTGATCATTCAAAAAATGTAATGCCTGTTGGTTATATTAAGCTTGACTTGCCAAAGTGTCTATTATTTCATTTTAAACTCGTTACTACGAGGGCTAATAAGAAAAATAGAGATATTCCGGTTTATTAGTTGAAACAAAACTTCAGAATTTCAAAGAGAACAGTTTTTGTTGGCTATCTAATTTAAAAACTAATATTGGGTTAGCTTCAAGGCCCATGTATATTGCATAGTCTAACACTGTACCTTCTCGTAATAGCCAAATTAAATCTGGCCGTCCATTTGGTCAGAGTATTTGCATTTCTTCTAGGTTTTTTTTTGTTTGTCGTCAAAATACATTAAGGAAAATTGGCAAAAATAACACAAAAAATTATAATCTAAAACTTAACCAAAGCTCCTATATCCAATGGTCATGATTTTACCACATACCC